TTTTCCTTAAACAGGATGAACACAGCATTCAGTTTGTAGAACTTGAATTCAGTTCTAGCAGTCGGTAGGTTTCAACATCATTCGGCAGTTTAGAAACTTTTTTAAAACTGAAGGAAACCCTGCCTTTATGAATAAATTTAAAGAAGGCGTACTTTTCTATCAAAAAAGTACAAGAGAGGATTTTGTTGTGCATGCTTTCTATAAAATATATTTGAATTTATAAAGGCAGTCAAAATTAATGATAAAAATACATACTATTTAAGTAGCCCTTTTTTACAGAATCAACTTTTTCACAGCGGTCAGAAAGAAGCTTATCACAGAGTCAGCATCCTAGCGTGGCTGAAAACAATTGAACTTGGACTGCATGCTGAACAGTATTGCAACGCTACGCAATGTAGGTTTGCGATTACTTACCAGTCTTTTTCAAATTGCAGAATGTTGCTTGCAGCACACTCGCCAAACTGCATATTGCCTAACTCAGTGAATGTGAATATCGAAATTTCAGAGGGTGGTTTAACACGAGATCGCGTCGGCAGTCGCCCCTACTGCAACTGTGGCCTTAGGCTACGCGGCATTGTAACTGGCTGCTGACGACCGTGGCGGGTTTCTCTGTTACCTTAGTCACCTTATCGGCAAACGCGGTAAACAGGAAGGGCTTATCGTGGTTGCATTTCCGGCTCTTTTGGGAGTTCCCCTGGACTCTGCGGTCTTCTCCTCCTCCTCGTGTGATCCCTCGGATAAAGATAGTTAAGTCCATGGGCTCCCCGTGGCTTGCCGCAAACATTTTCAGCAGCGTGCTAGTCCTATCTTGCACATACTTTCTCGCCACGAGCGACAGTTTTTCTCCTAAAAAGCCCACAAATGGCATTCCGCCTTTTGAATTCTGAGCCAAGCCTTAGGAGTTTTTTCACTGTCTGCTCTTTTTTGCTCAGTTACACCTGCTACCTCATGTTAACTGACATCACCACATGTGATTGTATTACTTGGAACAAGTAAGCAGTCGCCTACAATTATGTAAACAACCTGTTTTTAAATGTTCGGCTGTACCTATGCATTTATTCACTACTGTGTACCAATAGGGAGTTCAAAGGCGTTCGCCTACATTTCCCATAATAAACTTAGCTTGACTGGACACGTTGATTGAGATGCAAATAGTGTTTATTTGAAAAGAGTCCAGCTCAGACCAGTGTATTGAAGGCAAAAAGTGGGTCAAATCCAACGTCCCATTATATCCAAGGACTTTTCTACATTATTTAACGCTGTGGATCAAATTGTCTTGTTTATGCGTTGATAAACATTCACCGACAGCTAACGGAAGAACTCGCAGCCTCATTTCTCGGACCCAGTATTGCTGGCAAAAACGAGGGAGACTGGAATGGCCATTTCTGGCCCATTAGCCGTCGTCAGCCAGTCATACCCAGCCTTAACGTAACACTTGGCGCTCGAACAAGTGTTGTACTAGAAAAGAACATTAATATAAGCCAGAAAACGTTTAGCTAGATCTTTTTAGAAAACGCAAAATTACGTTTTGCCTTCATGAAAATTAGGTGAATGGAGGTATGAGAAAGGGCACTGTTTTCGGGAAACGAAGAACGGATTCAGTTTAAATAATTCGGTAAGTTCAGTTGGTTGCCCACCTTAGATACCCCTAAAGCCAGAATTCTGCCTTAAGGGGCCGGTGCTATTGGTTTAACTTTAGTTTATTTACTTTTTTAGTATAGTTTGGTGTAGTATATAGTTGTTACTTAACTATACTTGACTAACATTGGTGGTTTCTAACTAAACTAAAATCAAACGAATAAATTTAAAAAAAACAAACTAAAAATTAAACTGAACTAAAAGTAACCATAGGACCAGAGGCTAGGGGTAGCTAAGGTGGGTGACCAACTTAATTTTTATCAAAAATTCTCTTCTCTGCTAGGAAATTAAATAATAAACCTGTGTAGCTGTAGTTTGTTTTACAACACCGAAAATAAGGACCGTAAACAAGCATAGATGTGCACAGCCACGGAATGCCGTCATTTTCCTCTGTTAGGCCGTACACAAAAGATGTCTAAACAATGTATACCTACAGTTGACTATGTTAGGACGGCCTAACGAACAGCCTTAGCAAGCAGCCGCGCCCACAGTAGGCTATCGATCGGCCTACACGCGAGCGAACGCATCGTGCATTCAATCAATCGATAACTTGAAATTCAAGGTACATTCAGTCACTGAGTCACCAGCCAAACCTACCGGCGACTATTTCACGAGAGACGCTGATTGGCCCAATAGACATCATGTTACACGCGCTTTTGTCCTAAATGCATTGTACCTATTACACTCAAAGACTTCTGCTGTTGCACAGTTCTTGTCGTGTTCTTCCCTTGGTGAATCACACAAGGCGTTATTTGGCGGTGTTATCTCGGCCTGGGCTTCCGTTACAACTGACTATTGTTCGGAGCCGCCCTGACCGACGCATGCAGTCCTGGCGAGACCCCTTCAGGTCACGCTATGAGTTCGCACACAGACAAAGACCACGCGTGC